AAATATTTGCAAATAGGTATACACTATGATACTAGAGTTATTATTAATCTCACTTTGTCGTTTATAGTGACTGCAATTGGTTAACTCCGCTGTATACTGACAGTCTCGACATACACGACAGTTATTATACATCTCACGTTGCCGTTAGACACTGCAAGTGGCCAACCCCGCTATATACTGACATATGCTCTAGAGACACTATAGTTATCATACAATTCACTTTGTCGTTAATGTCTATATACCGACATATTTAATTGACAATAAGGAGCGATTCCCGCCATATTGATCACCGCCTTACTTTCCATAGAGACCCTATACTCTTGCTTGAATAAAGTTGGCTACACTCTGGCTGAATAGTATGATCGCGCTAACTGATTGTGAGAGATTATAAATCGACTGAAAGACACCACAAGTGCCGGTTGGGTTTGACTATTGCCTTACGATACGGCCGTTGTGCTACGTACTGCATAAACCTAACACATCAAAAGCATCAAAAGTATCAAACGTATCAGAAGTGGGAATGACCGCACAAACGAAAAAGAGGGTCCGACGGGAATTGAAGTATGTGATTCGACCTATGCATTGTTGCGTTTAACTTTGTCGCATTCGATGTTGGCGATGTGTGTTTTTAAGGCACACACCTCCGCATATAGTGATTTGGAACAACATTTATAGTGAGTGCGGGTTTCTCAATACAGTGCACTCTGCCGGGCGTGTAATTAATTTTGCACTTTGAAGTCGCATTGACCTTCGATTGCTTTGAATCTTAGAACTTTTCTAGAGCACCCTCCACCGGGCTTCAGCTTAGAAGAAGGCTACGATCTTGAAAGGTAGGTGGTATAAGATATTGCGAGTCCGTCATATGAGAAGTTCCTACTGCTGCTAAGATATACTGCGATGTTTAGACAGTGAAGCCTAATGCCCATTATTCTCTGCATGTAAATATTTCTGCTCCAGTGCATCTGCATTGTCGGCAATTTCTGCTTCTATAGCAATACAGGCATCCCTATAGCATGTGTAAATACATCTATAAACAAATGTATTAATGATATATATATATATACTTATATACTTATATATATATATATTTACATATATATATATATATTTACATACATTCATATATATATATTTATATACGTAGGCTGACATTATCCATGAACACCTACTTGCCAATGGCTGTCCAGGTGGACTATTATTCTAAAGGGAGCTGTTGGCACTGTGTATGATGCTGAGCTGTACTCGTTACAAGTCAAGTTCAGTTCCAACTACCCATTTGAGCCGCCTGAAGTGATGTTTATTGGAAAGACAATCCCTGTACACCCGCACGTCTACAGGTATGTTCGTCTTTGTGTATGGTGTAGGTATGTTTGTCTGCGTGTATGATGTAGGTATGGTGTGCTGCCCGTGAGTCTTGTCTTGGCGGTTGTTTGACCTATTACACCTATCACGGGGTAGATAGGTGTCACTCACCGCACTGATGTATAATTTTCAGGCACGTGTGGTTTATGGGTGTACGTTTGAATGGTTTCATTTTAGGCATGTGTGACTTGTTTTTAGGGTTTAGGGTGTAGGGTTTAGCGCTATCACTTCATGCAGGTACACGCATAGTAGTAGGGGATGGGTTGGTCGTGATCGTTGCAGGCGTGTGGTAGTGCCCGGCTAGCACTTGTCACTGTAATTTTGGGTAGACTATAGCGGCCCCGGGGATGTCGAATCTGTAGCGTCTGCTTCGCACTGATAACGTATCAGAATCTCAGTGATTGCAACGAATCAGAAGGGGTTATCCCTCTAAAATGCCCCCCCCCTTAAAATCTCCAAGGTCCCAGCGTATTGGGTATTACTAGGTGTAGTCTGTTGTGCGTTGTGTCGTGCGAATGGCAATTACTTCTTGTAGATGTTAGTTGCTGGACGTCAGCCTCTCACACTAAACCCTCATTCCTTGAACCCTAAAACCCTACGCCCAAGCGTTGGTAGACGCCCTACACCCCGCCACCCCACGTACATACTCACTTGCTAACGCGCACTGATCTTGGACCGTCCCTGTACTGACCTCTGCAGCAACGGCCACATCTGCCTTAACATTCTGTATGACCAGTGGACTCCCGTGCTTTCGGTGCAGTCTGTGTGCCTGAGCATACAGAGCATGCTCAGCAGTGCCAAGCGCAAGGTGGGTATGCCGCAGTTGTGTGTGGGTGGGTGTACAGTTGTGTGGTGGCTGTATATATATACATATATACATACATATATAGTTGTGTTCTGTGTGTGTGTGTGTACAGCTGTGCGGTTGTTGTGTGTTGTGTTTGTGGATGTGAGAGTTATGTTCATTCTGTCTGTAGCGTGTGGTACAGACCACAGTATGATAGTCATTCTACGATACCTGCGATGGACTTGTATCACATGTAACG